TAAAAAACGTTTTAAAATTAGATAATATATATGTTTAAAAAATAATTTTCAAAACTATATAATATATATTTTTAAAAACTAATTTTTATATGATATATATTTTAAAAACTAATTTTCAAAATTATATAATATATATTTTTTAAAAACTAATTTTCAAAATTATATAATATATATTTTTTAAAAACTAATTTTCAAAATTATATAATATATTTTTTTTTAAATTAATTTTAAAAACTATAATATATATATTTTTAAAAAGTTTTTTTAAAAATTATATAATATATAAATGTTTTCAAAACTATATATTATATATATTTTAAAAACCTTTTTAAAAAGAATTATATAATATATATTTTTGAAAATCGTTTTCCTAAAATACATATTATATTACTATATATATATATATAATAAAAAATAACTCCGGGCGAAAATGATTGTCTACAACTTTGTAATTAAAATAGATTATTAAAAATAATAAATAATTTCTTAAGGACATTAGTATTAAATTATTAAAATAAAATGTAAATATATAATTGAGTAGAACCTATGCATTAATAAGGGCAAAAATATACATTTGCTTTTAAATGCAGAGTTGAAATGAAAAAGCTAGAAATTCTAATTTTCGTGGTTGGTTTGAACTACCATTTCCCCAAAAAATAATTTACTCATTTATTTTGTGGTCAAAATGAGTTTTTTATCTAAAAGTGTTTTTAAATAGCGTTACTAAACGGGAGTTTAATAATTTAAATAATTAAAATGTTATTTTTTTAATTTCAATAATCAAAACTAAATAAAATTTAGAAAAAGTAACCAATATTAGAAGAAATTTTTAAAAATAACTTGTTAATATAATGTTAAAAAAGGGCAAAAATCGATTATAACCGAAAATTGTATTAAGAGTATAACTTTTTAGGTTAAACAAGTTACAATTGAAAATGATATTTACTTAATAACATTTTCAATTGTAACTCAAAATGTTACATTTTTCTGTAATATATTTGGTTATAAATTCTAATCTCTCGTAATATAATCTTTCGGTCGTAACCGAAAATATTATAAATTTATATTTTTTTTTCAGTTCAACATGGTAATATTTATGTCAAATTAATCTTAAATTAACCTTAAATTAGATTGTTTATCATGAAATTAAATAAAAGCCCTTTTAACCAAATTTTCCTTTCCCAGACTCTCGTACTTAAAAGAAAAAATATAAAGGAAAAAAAAAGAAATTGGCCTCCCTTTGTCTTTCAGATATGGAAGAAGAAGATCAACGCAAAGTCGCAGATCTAGTAATTGAGCTAGTTCGTCGCTTAGTCTCTCAAGAAAACCCTCAAAACCCAACCCCAAACTCTCCTCATTTTTCCCAGTCTCTTCGCTACGCTTTCCGCATTCTATCAAGCCGTTGAAACCCTTCCGCTTCCCCTTATTCCGATGCCGATGCCGATGCCGAATCTATCAAGCGCCGTCTCGCCACTCAAAGTAACTCCTCTGATGCCCTTACTTTCGATGATCTCTATACCAAGTTCGCTTCCAAAAATGGTTCGGGCAACGTTAATAACAAATGGGCCGTTCTTTATTTGCTTCAAATAATATCCAAGGATCGAAAAATGCTATCAATGGGATGGGCTCTTCGGTTTTCTTGCCCAATTTAGGTTTAAATGATTATGGAACAGTAAATGATTCAAGTGTTTTGAACGGTAAAGAGAATGCAGATAAGGCTTGGGAAAATGGGGTTTTCCTGGTTTCAGAAGACCACAAAAATTTTACGTGAAATTTCGTTTATGGAGTTTGGGAATTTGGTTAAAGAAGAGAATGAGGTGACTGAAGAGGTTTTGGTTAAAGATGTGTTGTATGCTTGTCAAGGGATTGATGGTAAGTAATTGAAATTTGATAGTAATTTGGATGGTTATGCTTTATCAGATCTAGCTAAGGTACCTAGAGCTACTCGAATTATTGTTAGGAAGCTTTGTGAACTAGGGTGGTTATTTAGGAAAGTTAAAGGGTATATCTCTCAGAGTATGGGTGGTTTTCCTGCTGAAGATGTGGGGACTGTGGGCCTGGCGTTTTGTACTGCTTTGCAGGATGAGTTATCAGAGTATTATAAGTTGTTGGCTGTGCTAGAGGCTCAGTCAATGAATCCAATTCCGTTGGTTTCGGAGAATGCAAGTTCAGGTAATTATTTGTTCTTGATGAGATTGTCAGTTTGGTTTGCTGAGCCAATGGTGAAAATGAGATTAATGGCAGTTTTGGTTGATAAGTGTAAAGCTTTGAGGGGTGGGGCTATGGCTGGTGCTATTCATCTGCATGCACAACATGGTGATCCTCTAGTCCATGACTTTATGAGGCGATTGCTTAGGAGGGTTTGCTTTCCGCTTTTTGAAATGGTGAGGAGTTGGGTTTTGGAAGGGGAATTGGAAGATATTTTTGCCGAGTTTTTTATTGTGGGGCAACCAGTAAAAGCTGAATCCCTTTGGAGAGAAGGTTACCAATTGCATGCTGGAATGTTGCCTATGTTCATTTCACAGTCTATTGCTCAACGTATTCTGAGGACTGGGAAGTCTATTAATTTTCTTAGTGTCTGTTGTGATGACCGTGGTTGGGCTGAGGCAGCAACAGAGGCTGTAGCTGCTGCTGGAGTGACAACTAGAAGAGGGGATCTTGGATATGGAGAAACTGATGCACTTGAATCTCTAGTCATGGAAGCAGCTAAGAGAATTGATAAGCATTTGTTGGATGTTATATACAAGAGGTACTAGTTCAAAGTACATTGTCTCGCAATCAAGCAATATCTGCTGCTTGGGCAGGGTGACTTTGTTCAGTACCTGATGGATATTGTTGGACCAGAGCTATCAGAGCCTGCTAATACTATTAGTTTCTTCAAGTTATGGATTACTGGAAAGTGCTATTCGGTCATCTAATGCTCAGTATGACGGTCCTGATATACTAGATCGGTTGAGAGTTAAGATGATGCCACATGGCATCGGTGACTGTGGATGGGATGTCTTCTCATTGGAATATGATGCAAGGGTTCCGCTAGATACAGTGTTTACTGAATCTGTCATGATTAGGTATTTACGAATTTTTTATTTTCTCTGGAAGCTTAGACCGGTGGAGCATGCACTCATTGGTGTATGTAAAACAATGAAACCCAATTGTATTGCTTCACATGTATACACAAAGCTACAACGTGAAGTAAAAATGCAATTGCTTTCAACACTGAGGCGATGCCAGGTTCTTTGGGATGAGATGAATCATTTTGTTACAAACTTGCAATACTATATCATGTTTGAAGTCTTGGAGGTGTTGTGGTCCAATTTTCCAATGAAATGGAAGTAGCCAAAGATCTTGATGATCTACTTGCAGCCCATGAGAAGTACCTCCACTCAATTGTAGAAAAATCTCTCCCAGGTGAAAGATCCCAAACCCTTTACAAGTCATTGTTTGTCCTTTTTGACCTTATACTGCAATTTAGAAGCCATGCAGACCAGTTATATGAAAGAATTCATGAGATACAAGCGAGGTGTGTACTGATATTATGTTATTTGCATGTATTTAGTTATTTAAGCGTTGGGTTCTGTTTAGGTGTCCCTCACTCTTGATTTTAACATTGAGTAGGACTGTGGAATCCTCTTCAAACTCTCGAGACAAAAACAAACCAAGGCAAACCAAAGATAAGTCCTCAGAGCCAGGGTCCTGGATTAGTGAAGGCAGGAAAGCTCTAACACAACGTGCTATTGAATTCCTTCAAAATATGGGACAAGATCTAGATGCATTAGCTACAGAATATAAATCGTTGCTTGAGGATTTCTTAGCTCTTTAGGTTAGATTTCACAGAATTTTATTCTCAACAGCATGCTACCGTATAAAGGCCATCAAAACATGTGTTTAAGCAATTTCTGCTGATATTTGAGACATAAATGTCATGCTTCAGTTCACTAACGTCATTTTCACAATGCTGCCACTTGAATGAACAATCTCCTGATGACCCGGGGTACATTTAGTCAGACCAATTTGTATGACATCTCTTGATTAGGTGAGGCAAGTTGTATTTCACTTAAATGTTGTTCTTTTTTACTACAGGTATCTGACACTTTGTCTTAAATTTCAGATGTTATGCTTTTGGATGGCTTGTTTGGCACATTGCGGTTGATTTGAAGGTATTCTTATGATTCTGATTGCGGTGTTGAATGTAGTAGCGTACAAGTTTTGGATCTGATAGTCCAATGTTATTGGTGTTCTCTGGGAGCTCTTACAACTGATGTGTCCAAAGGTTGTAGATATGTACCATACTTGTCTATTTGTTAATCAATGAGCAATTCATGCTATATGTTTGATTTTTATCTCTCTTATGTTGACTTAGTTGTTTCTTGTGATATACCTTTAGGCGCTTTGTTTTGGCTTTTATCTGATTTTTGATGAGAAGCCTTGTGTTTTTTTTTTTTTTGTATTGATTGTAAGTTGACTTGCAATGCAGTACGGTGACTCTATGTATGAGAACAAGGAAGATTGACCTTTTTTTCATAATTTTCTAGGCTCTAAGCATGGAAACAAGGATGGTAGTCTCTTTATTTTCATAGTAGCCTACCTGTAAATGAACTTGTAATATATGTGACATTTCTTCTCATTGCCATAACATGAGTGATTGTTTTCATTTCGTTTTTTGCATGGAAAAGAGGTCAGTAAGTAGAATTTTGTAACCAGATTTTGTCATGTAAAGCAGAATGTTACGTCTTGATGGAGATAGACACGTGTTTTATCTTCATTATCTAAATTATGTTTTTAATGAAGTTTTGGATTATTTATCTAATGCCTCCTTAGCCATGGTATTATTATTATCATTGTTGTTGTTCATCATAATCATCACAATGGTTACTGAGTTTCTGGGAAGATTCAAGGAATTTTAAGAAAAGGTAAATTGCATAGTGTTATAAACTTGTTAATATTAAGTGTAGTTTCTGCTAACAATTACAAAGCAAAAAGGTTCAAATGCATTTCCTTTACAGGCATTAGGCTTTTGCTTCATTTACAATGCATTGACTTCATATATATGATATAAATTCACATTTCCCAGAACAATGACAAAAAAGGACAAGCAAAAAAGAGAAAATACAAGTCATTTACTCATCAGAGCCTAGGGAGGCCTAAGAGTGTTTTTAGGAGCACTTATCCAAGGGGTGTCAGCAATGGCGAATCTCCACAACGCGTTAACATGCTCAGGTAAAGCATATTCAATGCCAACACGAGGACCAATTAATATCTTATCAGGTTCCGGCCCATCCAAGAGTTCCAAACCACCTATGCAGCATCCATATGTTATATTGTAGGGCTAGACATCAGTAGAAATTAGAATCATGGCATAAATACAGCGAGTAAACTAATTACCAGGAGTGTATAGGGGATGGTAAGACCATTCTGTGGAGATTCCAAGAGCCTGACCAACCTAATACATGGGAATGTATGGATTAATAGCTCAAAAATCATACAGCACACAAAGAGGTGTCTAATGCATTGAGTCTGGACTTTGTCCCAATAGCTCATCTTACAAAAAAAAAAATTTGCATGTAGGTGATGAACAAATATGTGAAGGTAAAAGAGGATCAAGGCTTTATTTATATTGTGAATAATTCTTAATTGATTATCCGAAACCAGTATTTAAATGCCAATGAACCAGCAAACCCACATTGCATCAGGAAGAACATGGAAATTATCATCCATCCGCACTTAACAAAGAGATAAATAATCAACATAGTGCAAAAATAAGAGGAAAGAATGAAATCTAACCTTTCCAGGTCCAGTGAGAAGAATAGGCTTCTCGGTTTGCTGACCTCGACGCTGCTGAATGGTCTCTAGACCTGCAGCAGAGTTCGTATATTTCAAAGAACATCATCTTTAACAAAGATTATGCTTGCTTTTCTGACCCAATGATAGTACGTAGAGATCTGAGATTTTATATAAGAGCAAGAAAACTGGAAACGAACATTTCCATAAAACTTTTAACAGTTACTAAGTTGCAAGATGTTAAAGCAGGCAACCATGAATAATTGAATAAAGATGACTCGATGTATGATCAACTATGCATTAACACCAATGGCAAATAGGTATAAATATACGATATGATACCATTTTAAGAGATACAATGAAGGTGATTATAGAAGTAGTTGCATGGCTGATACGAGATAAGAATACGAAACTTACCACACACAGGAGCGCAGGCACGAATTAAGACTGCAGCCCCGACTCCTTCCTTGTCAGCGACAACATTGAGCATTGTATGAAGGCCATAGCAAAGATAAACATAAGCATTTCCTCCAGGGCCAAACTGCAAGAATGCCATAGAGGAACTCAATATCTATTGTTACTAGGACCAAAATAAACATATATAATGTTTAAACTCTCGAGTTATTAATGGACCAATAATCAGATTAGCGAGCATATGTAAAAGATTAAATATGAAAAGAGATGACAAAAAAAAGATAGTTAAACTTACAACAGGGGCTGTTCTTGGTGTGATTCCAAATCTACCATGACAAGCTGAATCATTTGGTCTATAAGCCTCTACCTGTTAAAATATAATGATTCAAATTAGAAACTTTGGTCTTCAATTTTCCTTGGTTTCCTCGGCTTAAGTATTCGATCATTCAAGTTGAGTTAAAAATTTTCAAACTTTATAATTCAAACTTTATTTTAAAAAAATCGAGTCTAGTGTATAAAATTCAAGTTGTTTGAGTTTCGAGTTTCTGTTTAAATTTAATTATAAATATTTATAATGTTACGATACTATTTAATTCTAATTTAAATAATTTTCTATAATCACATACCATATACGTATATCATGGTATCTACTCGAACTTGATAACCAATTCACTAATTTATAAAAATTTTGATTTATTCAGTTATATTTTATAATTAAACTCGAATTTAAAGTTTTTCGAGTGAGTTTATAAAATTACTAGTGAGTCAAGTTTCTTAGCATCGAGTCAGAGTAAAAAATTTTTTTTTGAGCAAGTAGAGTTTTAATCACACCTACACAAATGGGTCATTTCAACAAAATTCAATTATAATGGAAAAACTCAACACCCAAATACTCGAAAATTCGAACTCTATTTTCCATTTCTTAGAGAAACAAACAGAAATAGGGAATAAAGTTAACGAAAAATGCATCAAATTTACCTCAGTAATTTGAAGAACAACATCATCTCTTCTTAAAAACTTGCCAAGCAAACGTGGCGCCAAATCAAGAGCGTCAATTTGAAAGAAATCGTGGGGAAGAATCGTCGTATCGCGAAAACAAGGGTCGGAAACTAGAGAAGATTGGATTTTGAGTTTGGGTTGAGGCAGAGTCTGATTATGGCGGGGAGTGGTCCTGGTCCTAACGATCACTGACTTGGAACTCTTATTCGCACACCTCTCCGAGTCGTTACAGGATTGACTCAGTCGAACTGATTTGTTGCGTTTTGGTGCAATTCGTTTGAACCGTTTACTTGAGTTCATCTGTAGCGAAAATGAACGAGCTGAAATAGACAAAAGGAAATTGATTTTGGTCAGACTTTGAAGCATTGGGCATTGGTTGACATTGTTTAGGGTTTTTGGTGGCTAGTCATACTTGAATAGTTTTTTAGCAAAATTTCATTGGATTCGGAAAAAAAAACTAATTAAAAGTTGGCTTAATTTAAAAAAAAAGTTTTTCAAATTCCAACGTTATATATTTTAAGTATTTATGGTATAAAGGCCGTTAAAAAATATTATTATCTGACTCATATTATATTTATATTTTTTTAGAATATTTTTTAAAAGAAACCTTAAAAATATTATTAATTAAAAATTTAAATTTTCCTAAAATTGCAAAAACAACCTTCAAGCCCATCCTTTCAAATCTCATTTTCAACTATTATTGATTATCTTCAATCATCATTTCTGTCGTTGAATGTTCATCATCTGTCACAGTCCATTCACTAACCGGTCATCATCTTTTTAATTACATTAAATTTTAAATATATACTCTCAATCAATTGATAATAAATGTTTATATTATATCAGTGTTCATGATCTCTAAAAAAATATAATGAGTCTATTAACCATTGGGATCAATTAGTTCATGTTAAATCCCTATTTTTTTGAATATAAATTCCTAAAAATATGAACGTATGAAAGAGTGGATAATTTTCTGGGATTTAATCCCAGTTACAGCTACACATGAGAGCATGAATCCCCCTCTTAAAGGCTTCAACGGTGGGGGCGCTGGGATTTAATCCCATGGCATGAGCGGCGGGGGAGAGGGTTGCGGGAGATTGTTGGGGTATTATAATAAATTTCTTAAAAAATGGGTTTCTTATAAAAGGGTCAACTACTCAAAATGACCATATTATAGGATTAGTGTTTATATGACTACCATACTTTCAATTTTATCAATGTGATCACATAATTATTTAAGTAGTTTCAATCAAGTTACTTGTAGTTAACATTTAACGGAAGTGATAACGTTGCAGTTAAAAAACTGGTATAATTACACATTCGATCCTCAATACTTATACATTTAATCAATTTGATTTTAAGTTTAATTTAATTTAATAAATTAACCATTGAATCATGAGATGACATGTGTAAATATATGCTCATGACACGTGTCAGGATTGACAAGTGTCAATATCTTGATGATTAATTTGGGGACCGTGTTTGTCATCGAGAATTCGTATCGATGAAGAAAGGGCTAATAGTTCAAATCAAAGGTTGAAAATATCAAATCGGCGAGCTTAAAATCAGTACACCTAAAACTTTGAAGTATTTTATGAATTTTATAATTGTGATGCATTGCTTATTTTATATGCTTTATATTTGATTAGCAAGCGAATAAGCTACAAATTACTCATAGCCATAATTAATGATAATTAAGCCTAAAACTTGATGAAAATGTTTTAAGACATTAATGCCAAAAATACCCTTAAATAGGAAAATAGTAAAGTATATCTGGAGTTATCTTGTTGGAATTTGAAGGCATATGTTGATTATGAACACCTTTGGTGGCTTTGCATTGCCTGTATATGCATGTATTTTTGTGTGACCTTTATTGCTAGGGCTATAAAGTATAACATTGACTTTGTAACTCTAATATGAGGTCTTAGGATCTAGAAGAGAAAGCACTTATGCAAAATGAATTAATCTTCTAAAAGCACTTTTCATGCCTTCTAAAAATAATAGATACCTTACACCTAAAGCCACTAAACTTTTTAAGAGTTTATCCTTTTGACTTCAAACTTTTCTTTGAATTCATCTTAGTCCTTAATTTCCATAATTTCCTTTCAATTTAGACTATAAACTTCAATATCTATAAATTTAGTCCCTTACAAGTTACTTAAATTTATAGAATAATTTCTGAAATTTTGATCTAGAATACAAAAATAAAATAGCCCAAAATTAGGGTATAACAACGTGACACTTGAATCTTCTAGATTCATGCTAGATCATATTAGAGTGTTACATGATATTATAATTTAGGTTCAATCGTTCTTAAGACTCGTGGGTCAGTATCAGTAGAGTGTTAGTGAATACATAACTCTAAATTGTCAAGAGCACTTTTCTAAGTCTGGCAATAATGACTTATTTTCTTTTAAATTATAAAGACCGTTATGGTAGATGAGTCTAAGCGTAACCAAGAAGGTCGCGTCGAAAGCCATGTCTCATGCTGATGACACCAACGATGAGTTTGTGCCAGATACTAATGATCTGGACATGAAAGAGGACACAAGGGTAGATGAGGCAACATTCTTATGTGATTTGACCTTGACACACTGACTCATCGTCTGAGCTATTTGAATATAACACCCCCAACCCATATCCGACCTAGATACGAGTCCGAGATGTCACATTCACCTTTCAAATCATGTACTTGTTCAAAATAGTTGAAAACCCAAATTTTTTAACAAAAAAAACTAAATAGTTTACATTAATTAAAAACGATTAGTTTAACAAAACATATCAGAGCATATTCAATTTAAATCTCTTAGTACATGCCAACTACATTTAATATAACAAAATACATACGATTCAAAACTCTTTTCTGATCTGATCTTTAGAAATGAGAGGCTAACATGTCTTTCTCCTTTTTGCTCCTTAATCTTCTCGAAACCTACGTGTGAAACATTCACACGCTAAGTCTATGACTTAGTGAGGCATATAAAATATAAAACGTAAACTATAACTCCTAAAAATGCATGCATAATTTCATACTATCATATCATACAAACTTATACATTCTTTCATGTAACAATTACACACATGCATATATATCATTCTCTAAATTCTTAGCATTATCATTCATATCTCTTAGTCATATGCTCTTGTACCTAACATTCTTAATCAAACAATACACATATCATCATATAATTCCTGTAACGCATTTCATATCACAAATTCTATACATCACATATAGTGTATTTATTGTTATTTCTTTATTAGCCCATATACACATGTGAGAACTAAAGATATGTGAGTACATGGAGGTTGTGCACATATGCTGTCACCACAGCTCGTATAAAGTCCCACTTAGTGGCATATGAAATTTGTCCCGAAAGATCTCTTGTATGTCCCGAAGGACCTATGTAACCCTCGACTCTTGGCATGCCAGCTATACCTCTAGCTCTCATGTCACATAACATGGGCATTATCTTTTGTATCTATCACAGATTCACATAACATGGGCATTATCTTTTGTAGCTATACCTCGACTCTTGTACTTATAATCTCATATCTTCTTTTCACGTAGATCATGCCACATTCTCATATAGCCTCATAGCTCATTGTCATATAGATAACATATCACATAACTTATATTACCCCCTCGTGTAATCACATATATTATTTATTTATTTTATATCTTTTAGTCCTATATTCTTGTACTCATAATCACATAGATCATAACATATACCTTTACTTATATCTCATATCATTTATCATATAACCACATATGTCCTATCATATATCATATATGCATATAATAACTTATATCATATCATATATCTTATGTTTTATTCTCTTATATTCACATAAATCATGTAACGTATATACTAACATATGTCCCTTATACATGTATTATTATATTTATCATCACATAGCTCATATAATCTTTTACTATGGCTTCAAAGATCTTTACCATATGACTCATATATTATAGGTTCATTTAAGCACATAATTCTCCTATTATAGTTTATCTTACATATTCGTATAATTATTTATGCTAATGTCTCCTATTTTATATATTGTTCTCATATTATCCTATAGATCAATGCTAGTTAGCTTCTCTCACTTTTCATTTAATATAATAAGTCGATTATACTAGTTTCCTCTAAATTTAACTCATGTAATTTATATCTTGTTATTATATCTTCATCTAAACATATATCCACCTGTTCATAATCACATAGCTTATATTCTTTCTATTGTTATCATATAAGTCATTTACTATTTTACATGGTTCGTAGTCTTATAACTTATTTTACATGCTCATATAACTTTAGATAGTTACATATATCTTTTCCATATAATACATATCATATAAATTCACACCACATAACATGTAAGATGAACAAGGCATATTCACATAATGCAAACATAATCATGCTTCTAATCGGGTAATCATATATTCCAAAATGTTGGAAACAGACTTGTCATAAGTCTAATTTTCATATAATAATACATATATTCTAATTGTATGCACTTACCTAGCCTCAATACTCAATACCGATCTCTTATCTCTTGATCGTTTCTAACTCTTCGATCATTCCGAAACTTGTTTATGCTCGATATATACACAATCATACATTTGATATGCATATCAAAATTCTAAATATTGTAATTCGATCCTTAATAACTCAAGCTAAAAGAATACATAGTACACTTTTCCCAATTTGAGTAGTATCGATACCCCATGTATGGTACTGATACTTCCCTAGTTGTGCTATCGATACCAAGCCTGAGTATCGATACCCTTTTTCGATTCTGTGATCTTTATTTCAAAATTGTACCGATACTTTCTTAATGGTATCGATACCCCCAATATCGATACTACTTCTTTGGTATTAATACTCTTTGAACAATTATATAAATTTGTGTCTTATGGTATCGATACTCATTTAACCAGTATCGATACCAATGCCCCAATTATCACTCATTTTCTCTTTGAAGTATCGGTATTGTATAAACAGTACCGATACCCCTTGCCCATGATTTATTTTTTTAGCTCGAAAATTCACCCATACTTATATACACCTTCCATTTTTAACTCCTTTCATGCTACTAAACTTAACTCTACTTACTTAACATATCTTATATTCATATAACACATCTTCATCTTCAATATTTCCTCCTAATTCTTGAAACTCAAAAATCTTACTAAAATTTCAACATGTTCTTAATTCACTTCTAAAACTTCTAACTTCTTAATTAGACCCTTGACAAGTCAAATTTCACTTCAAAACTTATTTACTAACTCTTTCTCAATAATTCCTTTAAAAACTATTTTTACTTAATTTCTTATAACTCATCCATCTTTGAGTTTTAAGCCACTTTAAGCATTCCTTAAACTTTC